GTGTGTGTGTGTGTGTGTGTGTGTGTGTGTGTGTGTGTGTGTGTGTATAAAATGGGAGAGGTGGTAGCAATTTGAGAAGGTTAAGAGGTTTTCCAAATGAAAATGCAGTCCCTAGGGTGAATAAGGTGAACTTCAATTGCTAATCACATTGACACGGAGGTGATTTCGATCTACCCTGGGCTCAGATATTGTAGGCATGGACAAAAAACCATTGTGTTGAGGTAATAGCTCCAGTATATGACTGCAATATATGACTGCCCTGTGCTTGAAGGGACAGACTGTATGATCACTGGATAAGTCATATGACTCACCAAACCTAACATCATATGGGATCCTTTACAGCAGGCTGTTGACATGATTATGAAAACAAATAGGATAGCATGCAGCATTAGGAATTAGGAAAATAAGATCATGGACATTTGCCACATGGAAAAGCACTAGCAATTTATTATCTTTTATTTTTGTGAAAAGGATGGAAGAATGAGTGTTTAGACATGGACATGGGACAAGGCAAGTACCCAGCAAGGCAACACTGACTGGCTAGCAGTCCATTGTGGTCAGCCATTGGCCAGAAAAGGCCAAAACTAAGTAATTTAGGCTCTCTAAGAACTCTAGACCCATCATGTCTATGCTCACAGCGTCTTGATGTCTAGATCTGAAGAGAGTCAAAACAACCTAGATCAGTTTTGTGTGTATTCTAAATCAAGAGATGGAAAGACTGGTTATTTGGAAGAACCTTGCCTTAAACACATTAATTCTGCACAGTTTCCTTTTATTTAGGCATTCCTTCTGTAAATATTTACCTCATCATGGGCTTCCTGCTTCTTCAAGCCAGCGCACTTTGTTATTATAAGCTCATGGCATCGCTTGTGGACTACGCAAGTGCAAACTGTAAACAAGAGATTATTTTATCCATTATGAAAGAGAAAAATTAAATTAAATGAGAAATTCTGGGGGATTCATCCCTATCCTCATTCTTCTCCAAGGATCTTCTAAAAGGCCTAAATTAGATTCTGGTCTGTGTGAAAAAGAAGGCTGAACAATGGGATAGTCTAGGAATTATATTGGAATTGTGGCTTCCAAGTGGCCAAGAAAACTCTCAAATTAATACGAGTTCATATCCTTATGATTCTTATCACATTTTAAATAGGGTCAAAATATCTGTTTGCACTTTCACAGAAGGGAAATGGTTTTGAGGCTCCATAAACATTCTAAATCAATGAAATCATATTGAACAATCTGGAAAAGGCAACAGACGATTCCAAAACTACCATATAAGGAAATATTTCTAGAACATAACTGCCTCTTGTTCAAAATGAGCTGTTACAGTCTTATTGTCAACTAGTTTTGAGGGTATGTTATTGCTTTAGAATTGTAAGCTACTTGGAACAGACTGAATAGATGGTATACAAATAATACAAAGAAGATATAAAATAAATTCATATTTATATAAAAAATGGAATTGTTTTGGACATATTCAACCTTAATGCAATGATACTTGGACTTGCATCCTTCTATTTCACTGCCTCTCTTGGCACGAGAACAAAACATCTGAAGTGTTTATTTCTGTTTAAGGTTACTCATAATTTGCTGTGTCATCCAAAGGCAAGCAAATTGTAGTTAACCTTAATTACACCTATCTGAAACAAATCAACTTCTAATGATGGATTTTCACTGATCACAGTGATAATCAATCACTGAGGTGAAGCTAGATAGTGGCCTAGATTTTAGTTAATCTGTAAAAATAAAGACTGATCAGTTTATTTGAAGAATACTGAAAGCTTCTATACACGAATGACCTGATTTTACCATTTATTTTGCAGCAGTTGTTAAACAAACACCACAGTTGTAAAGTGAACACAATGGTCATTAAGAGAATCAATGAGGTCCTATGGGGAGTTTTAGGCAGAACCCGGCCCAAAGACAAGAAACTGACAAATACCTTATAAATCATGGTCATATGACTACAGAGTGCTGCAACCAGCTGTAAAGCAGAGCTGGTTGCCATTTGCCCAAAATATAGTCATGTGACTATAGCAGGGTTTGAACTTCAAAACTGGGCCTTAAGTGTTGTTTGGGAAGGTTGTCAGAATTTTGAATGGTCACTAAGCAGCCAGTTGTTAAGCGAGGACTACTTGTATTTGCTTGCTGTCAAGCCATCATGGATCACCAGATCAACGTACAACTACAATTATAGTTTGGAGCTTATTACGGTTAGTTTCTGAGTCTTAAACTTTTAAGGTTTCTTGGGTTCTAAACACTTTTCTCTATAATATTTTTAGTATACTGTATTTTTCTTTCATTTTCTCTGAATTGGCTATTACTTTGAATTGGCTAACATATTGTCATCCTTTAGCATACCAATTTGAAGTGGGAATCTTTTTCAGAATTTAAAGATCTTTTGGAAGACTATCCTTACATCGATTCCTATCTTCAATGTCATGCTATTGTACTACTGCTTCATGTCTTTTCCAACAGTCTTGTTATCATATTCATCCTTAAAGATTTCTTTAGGTTCATTCCAGAGTACCTCTGGTTCTTTATCAATAAATTTTAATACTTCAAATTGATTCCCAATATTTTTCTTGAAAATGATTCTGGGGATTTTTATTAATTGTATGTCTTTTTGTGTTTATTTTCTGTTTTTATTCTGTTGTAAATGAGGTCTGCATTACAAAAACCATGAAGGGAACAGACAAACAATGCTGGATTAAGAGGAATGGATTCAGCAGGGATTATCTTTTATCCAAAGCCCATGGAGGCATTCCTAGTGGGGAACACCAGAATAGCCTTCATTATTCTTTGTAGAGGGACATCTCGGGTGCTGCGTGTTCACAACAACTTTTCCCCTTGCTGAAAAGGACTGAAAGATCAAGTTGACTATATACACTTTTTTATTATTCATGTAGGGACTTCCTAAATTACTGGGGATTTATTAAAAAGAACTGCAAGGAAGTCATTTGCTCTAAGCCTCTAATGTGATGGGATGTGAAATTGATCTTAACAGAATAACAGAATTGGAAGGGACCTTGGAGGTCTTCTAATTCAATCCCCTGTACAAGCAGGAGACCCTATACCATTCCAGAGAAGTGGCTGTACTGTCTCTTCATAAAAACTTCCAATGATGGAGCATCCACAACTTCTGAAGGCAAGCTGTTCTACTGTTCTAATTGTTAGGAAATGTCTCCTTGTTTAATTTCCATCTATTGTTTCTTGTTCTGCCATCTGGTGCTTTGGAAAACAGGTTGACCTTCTCTTCTTTGTAGCAGCCTCTCAAATATTGGAACACTGCTATCATGTCACCTCTAGTCCTTCTTTTCACTAGACTAGACAAGCCCAATTCCTGCAACCGTTCTTTATATGTTTTAGCCTCCAGCACCCTAATTTTGGGAGACTGGTGGAAGAGATGCTGCCTAGGGAATGATCAGATAAGAGAGAGCATACACACAGCTATTTGATGGCCACAGAAAGAAACTCAAAAAGAACTTCCCTAACTTTTGGCTGTAAAAAAGAGGGTGGGAGAAAATAAGATTTTCAAGATTCTGTTAATGTAGCCTTACAGTAAATAGAATTAGCTCATCTGGTCAGGATTCTGGTCAGAGAATCCTGAAACCTAATTAGTTCCTTATACATTCCAAACATATTCATAAAATGAACAATTTTT